TTGCCTTTTCAGTGAGTGGTGTGCGGGCTCCCAACTTTAAAGTTCAAATCTTAGAGGCCAGTAACAGTCTTAAAATCCATGCCTGTTTCAATTAACAGAAATCTCTATCAATGGACAACTGCCTCAACCCCATCTCCCACAGCCCTTTTACCCTTCAGCTCCCCGACTCACACAAGAGCCACCACAGGTTAAGGGGCCTGAAGAATCCTACCAGGCCAGACTGGCTTTCCTAGAATATAGCTCTTTGAGCCAGTATTTGTTTGCAAGTTTCTATTGCTTTCTTTTTTCTTTTTTTTGAGAAGCAATATTTATATGCTGTTGCTTGCAAATTAAATTTCATTTAATCATTTTTAATCACCATTTATTCACCTAACAGGCATTTATTGATTGCTTTCTGGGTACAAAGCCATGGTTAGGTCCTCGTGATTTTTTTAAGTTCTCCTTGGTTTTTATCCCTCCTCTTGATGTGATAAGGGAGGGGAGGATTTAATAGACATTATACTCATTCCATCTGCCTCATCTTTAATGCAACCCTAAATGGGCTAGAGCCTGCAGCAGGTCCCTGGGGCACTCCGCACTTGCCTACTTTCAATCACTAAGTTCTCTAAGAGATATTTCAGCGAGTTCTCTACCTTTGGGCTCAAGGCCAACATATTAAAATTAATTCTAGTACAATTATCCGACTAAGATATGTCATTACCATTTCATTCTCTCTATAAACTGTGTTAATCATGTATTTTTTCTGAAAAGTAATTTTTCAATTCAACTGTAATGGCACTTTATAAACTACAATCAAGTCTATCCTTGCTCTAATATAGTTCCATTCGTTCCGTGATTACATTGAGAATCTCTGTATTTGCATTGCCTTCCTTTTCACTGGCTCACATTCCCCCAAAACTTAGATGCGGTAATCCTGCCGAATGGTCCTCATTCCTACAACTGTTTTGGATAGAACCATTATCTCACAAAGTGCCTTGATTTCCACTCATTTCCGTGCTTTCATTCATTTATTCATTCAGCCAACAAATACTATTTTTCTTTGTAGAAATATAGTATTAGGCACTTGTCTTACTTTGCTCAGGCCGCCATAACAAAATATCATAGACTGGGTAGGTTAAAAGACAGAAATGTATTTTCTCACAGTTCTGGAGCCTGGAAAGTCCTCATGTTTCAGGTGGCCTCGTCTCTAAGGCTACCATCAGTGGTCCTCTGGCCTGTTGAAACACAGATGATGGCCCTCATCCTTTGAAATGAAGGAGGCACACCCGATGATCTCTGAATCACCTTTAGATTTGTCTTCCCTTTTCTGGAAGAATAGCACAAATTTAAGGGTAAATGGCTCTATGGTCTTGTCCTGTCAGGATCTGACAGACTTCCCTCATTTTGTCTCATTTTTTCTACCCCCTTTAGCGTTTCTGTGCCCTGCTGGTGGTGTTGCTGATGGTATAGTCCCCATTTCTATTCTTGGCTTTTGCTGAGGTGACTTATTAAACCTTTCTCATTTTTTGCAATATGGATAGGCTGAGAATTTTCCAAATCTTCAAGTTATGGGTTCTTTTTAACTTACCAATTCCTTCTTTAGTTCAATCTCTCTCCTTTCTCAAATTTCACTCTGAGCAGTCAGGAGCAACCAGGGTACTCCGTCAAACCTTTGCTTAGAAATCTCAGCTAGGGATACCCAGCTGGTTCAGTCAGTAGAGCATCTGACTCTTGATCTCAAGGTCCTGAGTTTGAGCCCCACATTGGGTGTAGAGATCACTTTAAAAATATATAATTAATTTTTAAAAACCCTCCTCAGCTAAATATCCAATTCCATCACTTGTAAATTCACAATTCCATCACTTATAAATTTAAATTTCTGCAAAACACTAGAACATAGTTCAACCAAGTTCTTTGCCACTTTATAACAGGATGACCTTTCCTCCAGTTTCCAATAACATGTTCCTCATTTCCATCTGAGACCTTATCAGAATTACCCTTGATACCCGTATTTCTAGGATGCACCTTAAAACTCTTCTGGCCCCTACCCATTATCCTGTTTCAAAGCCTCTTCCACGTGTTTAGTACTCTGTTACACCAGCACCCCCACTTTCTAAGTACCAAAATTTGTATTAGGGTTGTCCAGAGAAACAGAACCAACTAAATTTTTTGTGCGTGTGTGTGTGTGTATAAAGGGGGGGGGGCAGAGAGATTTAGGAAGAACTGGCTCACATAATTGTGGAGGCTGAGAAATCCCAGGGTCTGCTTCATCAAGCTGGAGGCCCAGAGGGTTTAGTTCCAATCTGAGCCCAAAGGCTTGAGAACCTGGAGAGCTAATGGCGGAGTCCCAGTCCAAAACCTGGCAAGCTCAAGATCCAAGAAGACAGTGTTTCAGTTCTAGCCCAAAGGCAGGAAAAGACTAATATCCCAGCTGAGAGTAGTCAGGCAGTAGGAGTCCCCTCTTACTGAGGCTTTTTGTTCTATTCAGGCCTTCCACTGATTAGAAGAGGCCCCCACCCCCCCGATTAGGGAGGGTGACCTGCTTTACTCAATCTACTGAATCAAATGTTAATCTTAACCAGAAACATCCTCACAGACACCCCAGAATGTCTGACTGAATGCCTGGGCACCCTATGGCCCAGTCAAGTTGACAGAGAAAATCATAGCATTTTATAGGACTTACAAATATCATGAAGACGGTCTCTGTCCTTGAAAAGCTTACAGATGTGTGCCAGGGACAGACTAGACACAAGGTAGAGGGAGACAGCTGCTATAATAAAGGCAAGGGAAAGTATTATGGGAGAGTAGCGCGTCTATTCATTTTGTCTTGGCAGATCAAAAGAGGGCTTCACGCGAGGGCCTCCATCTGAACAGCCATGCATAGAAGTAGAATTTAGATAACTGGTGATAAAGGACAGGAGGGAACTATAAATTGTAGGGGCGAGATGAACAGGGGTGTGAAGATGCATAGTATAATTGTATAACCAGTACTACCCTGGAATGTTTGGATATTAGTCTGTCAAGTAAAAATAACTGAAAAGCAAATTAAATCTTTAAAGCAATGTTGAAGAAAATGCCAAGGCAGGGAGTGGGGTGTGTGGCATTCATATAATGCAGCAAAACTCCATACAGTCATCTTTCATAATTTCTCTCCCAAATTTCCCACGTGAATGGCCACCATGCATGGTGGCTGCTGCCTAGTCTCGCGTCTCCCACACCCTAAAGCCTCCCAACATACCCCCAGCCAGGTTTTGTTTCCTGTGCACAGGTTTTGTTTTCCCTGCCTCTTTTTTACCTAGAACTTTTCTTCTATTGGTAACTCTGTTCCTTCTAATATAAATCTATTGAGCTGAGCTTCTCCAGGTCGGTCCCCCATCCATTACCTTCACCTACTTTCCAAAAAGCCTAAGAGCCAATTAGTTCCAATTCCCAATGGGCCGGGAGGGGTGAAATACCAAGGATATCCTTATGTTCATAATGTTTACCTCTTAAATCTGAAAAATAGCACGTATGCTTTGTGTGTTTTTTTCCAGTGAAAGCAGAAAATCAATAAATCACTTGATATGCACAAATAGTAGAGACTCTGAAAGGATGGGGTAGGAAATGAGAGTAGAAAGGCAGCAATAAAAACTAATATCTATGGGGCACTTACTATGTGCCATACAGCATTTGGCTTTGAAGGCCATGCTAGCTAGTCTGAACTTTATTTACCCCACAGCCTTTGGGAGCCATGTGAGGTTAGTGAGTATAAAATTGACGTGTCCAGATGGTATTTCAAGGTCTACCTGTGAGGTTAATGCATGTAAAATAGATTGGATGGGGCCAAAGAGGAGAAGCACCAATAGGGAAGTCAAGAAGTGTGGTTGAGAAGTGCTCAGGACTCATCAAGTTGGACTCTTTGGGTTCTACAAAAGAGAGGCATGTGCAGACTGTTTGAATATAAAGTGTTTGTTGAAGAGATACTCAGAGATTGGGACAGGAACTAGACTTGACAACCCTCAGGATCTAAGACAAGTCTAGGGATGAAGGATTGTCTTCATCTTTCTCTCTCATGTTCTCTCCCCCACACTTGGGATCTGCTCCACTCTCCTCTTGGGCTCAAATACCCCTCCCCGTCCTTCACTTCCCACTCAACACCGCAAGGAGTCTTTCAAGAAGATTCGGTTAATTAAATCGCCCCCACAGGCATGCCCAGTCAGCAGCCTCCAGTGTTGGAAGAACAGTTGGCCGGTCCTTCACAGTTTGCCCAGGTTGTCCACTGGGTGAGCGGGGGAGAGGCAGTGGACATAGCTGGCATCATAATTAATACTTCTACTGGTGGCATGTTTGGAGAGGGTGACATCTATCAAAAGCCAAAAGTCAATTAAATTAAGTACCATTCTTCATTACGCCATAGCTCTCACTGTAACCTTGCCCAAGTCACTTCTCTCCTCTTTGCTTTGGTTTCTTTATCATTCAAATGGAGATCAAAATAATGGCATGTTAGAATTTAGCGTTCTTCACATCACTAGCCACATTCAGTTGATGTGAGGTCTCGCTTCTGTGCCACTTCTGGTTAACCAAGAGTAATAACAATACCTGATGTGCGTCACTGCTGTCTGCAAATCAAGTTCACATCCATTTGATTTGATCCTCATAAGAACCCTTTCGGGTGGGAAAGACAGCTATCATTCCCTCCATTTTTCTGACATCCAGAGAGGTTACATGACTTAGTCGAGGTCACACAGCTATTAAATGACAAAGCCAGGACTTGCATTCTCATTTCAGACTCCAAGATCAGTATATTCTCTACTTGCTGCCTCTCAAGTTTGGGCTGCTGGTTCCCAAAGAGCAGATCTGCTGTAGATATCAACATGACTGTGCCCTTGTTCTTTCCATTCTTATGTCTTCATTTTTTATGCCTCTCCTGTTCTTCTACATTTCTAATTTATTCCAGAAGTGTTTGGCCTTCAGTAATGAGGGTTTGGTTGTAGGCATTCCAAGACTTCCGTCGGCATTGACCCTTGCTTCCTGAATTGCAGGGAGACACTCCATTACAGTCACTACTCTCACCTCAGCTGGGAACATCGGGGAGGATGGAATCCTGAGCTGCACTTTTGAACCTGACATCAAACTTTCTGATATCGTGATACAGTGGCTGAAGGAAGGTGTTACAGGCTTGGTACATGAGTTCAAAGAAGGCAAAGACGACCCATCAGACCAAGACGAGATGTTCAGAGGCCGGACGGCAGTGTTTGCAGATCAAGTGATAGGTGGCAATGCCTCTCTGAGGCTGAAAAACGTGCAACTCACAGACGCTGGAACCTATAAATGTTACATCATCACCTCCAAAGGCAAGGGGAATGCCAACCTTGCGTATAAAACTGGAGGTGAGTCGCTTTTGCAGAGGGGGAAAGAAAGTGCCCAAAGGTAGGCACCCAAATGTATCTGGGGCTAAAGACCATGGATGGCTGATGAAATACGTTGTGCCCAAGAGTGACCAAAATATGTTGTGCCCAAGAGTGACCAAGAAGACAAGAATGTCTGAATTCTGCCAGCAGCCATCTTCACTGTCCAAGACCCACACCAACTCTGAAAATAGCCCCTTATCACATTAGGTCTTAAAATCTTCTGTTCTGGACTCTGGTCTTTCCCAGATTTTCAGGTATATTCCCTGACATATTTTGCCAAAATAAATGTGATCTCTTTTATGGTAGACTTTGTTATTGCTAGTAAGAGAAACCTGTGATCTGGCCTGAGACTTTTCTATGAGAAGTAGGCCCTAGCCCAGGTCTGAAATCAGTACCTCCAGGGACTCACGGTAGTGGAACCCATTTTAGGAGGGGTTCAAAGGGAACTAGCCAAAACCACTATTGTTCTATAAACTCACTAATCCTCCCCCAGTGAAACCCACCCTTCCTTATCAACTCAGGTTGGTGAATTTATGTACCAGGAACTCAGATAGGTACTGTGAGGGGTAAAAAGATGATTAAGAAAACTAATGATTGCCTCCCCTCTTGAAGAGCTCATAGTATAGAGCTTATAGAGTTGAGGGCTAGAGCAGAGATAAGAAAAATGGGTAAATAACTCTAATAATTGGTAAAGTGTATCAAATGCTTTAAGAGAAACACACAGTGATTTGAGGATTCAGAGGGAGAAGGAGATCACATCCAAATGCATAGGGAGGGAATGGAGAATTTGGCATCTGAGAAGGGCCTCGTGAGCTAGGCAGCAAGTATCCTGAGGTCTCCTGGCCTGCACAGGCCTTCCTTGGACATTTCATAACACATGTTTATATTCGTTTGAAGCACAGATCTAGAGCCAGACCTGGACAAGTACAGGGACCTGGGCAAGGCGACCTGACTGGGCCTTAGTTTCTTCATCTTAAAATGACCCAAATTCCTAGGGTCATGTCAAAGGGACACTGGAACCAATGGAAAGGGCCTCCAATGGCCAAGCTGGACCAGTCTGAGCAACCAAAGAAACAAAAGCTAGAACCAAATAAACCAAAAATCTGAACTCAAAGTATAAAATTAACACCTGAGTCCATACTTCTATAAATATGAGGGAGAAAACACAAATCTTTGCAGATGTATTCCAAATAAAGTATTGAGCTCCCCCGACTCCTGGAGGTAGTACTTAACACTTCCTCCCCCATGACCACACACAGGATGTGTTTTTCTTCGAGAAGTCCAGCTTCCAGAGAAATAAGCCTCAGCCAGGTGATCAAAGTTAATCTCATCAGTGATAAGTCACATCGACCGCATGGCTTCTGATGGGGCATGATGGGAAGGGTACTTTCCCTCCCATAGTCTTCCTCTCCAAAACCCGTAACACCAATCTAACCATGAGAAAAACATCGGATAGATTCCAAAAGAGGGGCATCCCACAGAACACCTGATCAATACCAATCAAAACTGCCAAGAGCAGGAAAAACGTGGGAAAATTGAGAAATTCTCACAGACCAGAGGAATCTAAGAGGACAGGACGACCAAATGCCACATGGGATGCCAGGACAGAAAAAAGACATTAGTGGGAAAACTGGTGAAATGCAAACAAAGTCTGGAGATAAGCTCATAGGTATGTACCAGCAATGGCTTCTCAGGTTTGACAAATCAGCTTTGGTTAGTTAAGATGTTAACATTAGGGAAAACCGGGTGAGGTATATATATATAAGAACTCTGTGCTACCGTTTCTATAAATCTAAAATTATGCCAAAATGAAAAGCTTATTTTTAAAATGGTGATGATCATAGATATCCCTGGAACTGGGGTGAGGAGCAAATGAAATACTATCTGGAATTTGGCATGTGGCACAGAGAAACCCTCCATGAATGGTGGTTCACTATCATGTACACTCAGTTCCTTACATCATCTCCCAGGAGCTCATTCCCCACCTGAGGTGAGGGGATGAGTCTCATCTCCACTGCTAGATGGCAGACTCTTTAAGAGCAAGGCAGGGGCTCTCAGTTCCAGCACAGTCCCAGGCAAAGGAAAGTGCTAAATAACTTAATAAATTGTATCTTGGCATAAGCATTTTATCGTCGAAAGTCCAGGCCTTACCATTTCCCCACAAGTATCTCTTTGCCTGAATACTAGAGGAAGCTAGTCTTAATTTCAAAGTTCATTTACCTCCCCAAGAAGGAGAATTATCCTAGAAGAAAGCAAATGTCTGCCTCTATCCCTGGATACCAGGGCTAGAGAGTCTCCACCCAAGCAAACTCCAAACCCCATGATGGGAAGGCCCATGTATGGAATTTCTGTGGGTGACAGGTGAATGCTGTTTGTTTTTTCCTTCTCCTTCTCCCTCCCCACCCTAACTTGATCCTCCAGGCAGAAAAATACATAAAAATCTAAGAGGCTTCACAGGTGCCTGAGAAAATGTTCCATTTCCTTGAGGGATAAATTATTTGGGGATCTACGTTACCCTTTATCTTTAAGGGATAAACTGGAACTTGCCTTAGTTGGAGAGATTTATCTGTTCTAACAATTATACCTAAAACTTTGGTCCCTGGAGTTTGTGATCTTGGCCAAAGAGTTGCGCAAATCTTTATTTGCAACTGCTATACAATGGGCCATACACAGACAGCCCACTGGGGAAGCACTGAGTCACTTCAGTGGTGGAAATGACTGTGTTTTTAAGACCCAGCACTTCAAAGGCTATATTGTTTGATTGGTATGACCTTGACATCTGCCCCTTTGAACCCTGCAGCCTTCAGCATCCCAGAGGTGAACGTGGACTATAACGCCAGCTCAGAGAGCTTACGGTGTGAGGCTCCCCGATGGTTCCCCCAGCCTACAGTGGTCTGGGCATCCCAGGTTGACCAGGGAGCCAACTTCTCAGAAGTCTCCAATACCAGCTTTGAGCTGAACTCTGAGAATGTGACCATGAAGGTTGTGTCTGTACTCTACAATGTCACGATCAACAACACGTACTCCTGTATGATTGAGAACAACATTGCCAAAGCCACGGGGGATATCAAAGTGACAGGTGGGTTTCCCCCATGCTTTCTGTACACATTTTGTATGGGTTTATTGGGGTGAGAATCAAATCTGAATTAAAATCTAATTTATTTTTTTTTTAATCTTATTTTTGAGGTTGGGGGGGGAAGGGGCAAAGAAAGAGGGAGACACAGAATCTGAAGTAGGCTCCAGGCTCTGAGCTGTCAGCATGGAGCCCGACGCGGGGCTCAAACTCACAGAGGGTGAGATCTTGACCTGAGCTGAAGTCGGACGCTTAACTGACTGAGCCACCCAGGCTTCCCAAAATCTAATTTCTTTAACCGATATATTATGTATCAGGGAACAGAAAGCCCTAGAGTCTTCTTCATGGAGACCTTGGCCACAATTATGGCTGGGATTGCACTGTATAAGAAAAAGACTAACACAAGACAATATTTAGGGCATATAGGTCAGAAATCACAATGAGGCTTCATCTTGTATGCCTTCTCATTGACTGGGGGTGGCTCCCTGGAAAGCAGTATTTAGGATTCTGTGGCCCTGTCTAACTCAGCAGGTCTGCTTTGGTGAAGCAATGAGGAAAATGACAATTATTTGACATCTTTGACGTATTCAGCTAGTGATCTACATCCCAAGCCCCCCAAATCTCACTTGGTTCTAGCCTGCTTTGGAGAAGACTTTTTTAGGATCTGACTTAGTCTTCTTATTCAGCCCATCTGGGACTGGCTCATGGTCCCACTACTATTCTCCCAGAATTAATCTGAAAGCTCTGGAATTAAGTGGCCTCCTAGGCTGAGACGACTGAGACTCAGAGAAACCCAACACATTAGTTGCCCTGCTTTCATGCGCAAAAAAACCCTAGGGTTGAGCTGGTGTCTAGAAAATGCACAGACTGAATAGGAGAAGCTACACACAAGTAGTTTGGCCCCTTCATTTTCCTTTTCTCTCTAGCTAACCCTCAGGAAGTCTGCATTCTACTCCACTCCTCTAGGCCATCAGTTTTTTCCCAAAACAGAATCTGCCCTTGCGGTGGGAAGCCTGTCCCAGGCCGGTGCTGCCCGTCACTGGGAAAGCCTGGGCTACAGCCCGTCTGCCTGCAGATGGAGCTGCATCTTTTATTACCAGGCTTACCAGTAATAAAGGTGACATTCTGGTCTCCCAGGAGCCTCACTCTTTTATTCCTATTCTTCAACTGATGCAGAACTCAGCTGGGGGAGAGGGTGTTTGCTTGGTTGGTTTTTAATTTTTTATTTTATTTAATTTTATTTTTTTTCTTTTTTACTGTATGTAACCATACAGTTTTCTTTTTTTTTTTTTTTTAATGTTTTATTTATTTCTGAGAGAGAGAGAGACCGCATAAGCAGGGGAGGGTCAGAGAGAGAAGGAGATACAGAATCTAAAGACAGCTTCCAGGCTCTGAGCTAGCTGTCAGCACAGAGCCCAACACGGGGCTTAAACCCACAAACCGTGAGATCATGACCTGAGCCAAAGTCAGTTGCTTAACCGACGGAGCCACCCAGGCTCCCCAGCTTGTTTTTTGTTTTTGTTTTTTTTTTATACTGGACTCCTCTGAACCCCAACAGCAGGTGCTCAAAAATATTTACTAAATGATTCAATTTTTTTTTAATGTTTTATTTATTTCTAGAGAGAGAGAGAGAGACAGCGTGAGCAGGGGAGGGTCAGAGAGAGAGGGAGTCACAGACTGAAAAAGGCTCCAGGCTCTGAGCTGGCAGTCAGCACAGAGCCCGACGCGGGGCTCGAACACACGAACCGCGAGATCATGACCTAAGCGAAAGTCCGACGCTTAACCGACTAAGCCACCCAGGCGCCCCCTGAATGATTCAATTTTTAACTGACATATTCAGGAGCAACCATAAATCTGGTCGTGGAGCTCAAGAGGAGGGTCCGGAAACGATCATCAGCTTAGTGCAAGTAAAGCTTATTGAGTTTGAGTGGGGTCACTGTTACTGTAGTTACAGGTGGTACTTCCTGGGTGCTTACTTACTACGTGCCCAAGTGCTTTACCTGTACTAACTCACTAATCCTCAGAAGAGCTCTGTGGAGCAGTATTATTTTAGCCTGATCTTGTAGGGGAAGAAACTGAGGTGTGTATAGATAGTAACTTGCCTATGTTTGCACAGCTCGTAAGTGTCAAGGCCGAAATGAACCAAATGGGACTGGATTGTCTAGGAAGGAAACAGTAAAAGAAGAGTAACCTCATTTCTTCACATCTACCTTCCTCTACTTCACAATGGGGACGGTACTTCCTTGTCGCTGTGTAGTGGTGTGAGGAAGCAAGTGACACCGCGCCTGTGGAGGTCCCGGCCCACAGGAACAAATGTGTCTGAAACCAAAGACCGGCCATGACTGTCCACCCTATTCATTATTTGGTGAGCAGGGACAATCTCTTTGTTGGCATCGTTTTCCATTTGGCTGAGTGCTCACTGGAGTGGACAACAGAAGGGGACTTCCTTTGAAGAAAGAGAAAGCTCTGATTTTACACCAGTTCTAGAGAGGTAGAGAATAGGGTACGAAATTGCCCCCCAGTAGCGGTATAAGTTGTATTAGAAACAACGTGTTGAGTTTCTCGGGTACTTTTCTTTGCCACCCCGCCATGTCAGGAAGACACCCAGCTTTTCCTCTGTGACCCTGAACTTTTTTCTCTCCCTTTGTAGACTCGGAAATTAAAAGGCGAAGTCACCTGCAGCTGCTGAACTCGAAGGCCTCTCTGTGTGTCTCTTCTTTCTTTGCCATCATCTGGGGACTCCTGCCTCTCTCCCCTCACCTGATGCTCAGATAAGGGGCCTTGGCCACACAGAAACATGCAAAGTCACTGGTACGACAGGTGAGAAGAATCGCGGATGGGGTGGGGGGCGGTTCCGTGTGTGCTGGTGTTCCTCACACGAGTCACGGGCCTCAGCCTCGGGGAGAAACATTTGAATGTGCCAGGCCAGAGGGCACTATTCCCACTGGTAATTGTGAAAGGGAACATTTGTGAACAAGGAGCGTAGATCTCATTGAGAACGCGCTTAGCAAAAACAGCGATGCAATTCACATATTCGTGCAAATTCAAACATCTTTTCATTTACTGAGTCATCCATCCACAAGGCAAAAAGAGAAAGACAAAGAGATGTTTAGCCCTGAGACTTCCTCTGGATTTTGCTGTTATTTTACGAAGCACTGGGACACGAACATAATCGCTCCCCAAGGGACCTCCTCCTAAGCCCCCCAGTGAAGCCAGAAAGTCAACAAGTGACTCAGCAACTAGCCTCCCCCGCCAAGGCTCCTTTCTGTCACTTCAGTCCTCGGGCTCCAATGATTGGTAGGATGTTTCTTTCTGAATCGCCTACTGTGTGTGGAATTTGCACAGAGCTGAGCTCACGAGGCTCCAGTCAGCACGACCACAATCGGGGGCATCCCCACCATGCTCCCGGGCTCACTGCCTTAGAGCTATTTTTGTCCCCTTGTGTCTTTCATGTCCATTTGCTACCAAGCCCTATAGCATTGTCCCCATGTTGTCCCTCAGACTGTCCCTAATCCAGCCTTCATTGTTTCACACACCAGACTAGGTCTGAAACCTTACACTTGCTCCTTCCTCTCCCTGTTTCCGGTGACAGGAAGTCAGACATCAAAATACAATCCTTCCAATGCTATTTTCATCACAGCTTTCCTTTGCTCTGGAACCTAAAGTAACTCTCGGGGCACTATTATGTGTCACAGTTGAAGGTCTCCGTCATGGGGTCACAGCTCTCTAACAGTTTCTCTCCCCAAACTTCCTGCTCCTCTCGGCCGCCCACTCCTCTCTCTGGCTCTGCCCCTCTCTTACTACCCCTTTCTGGAAGCCCCCTCTGCTCTGTGGCGACTCAGATCCATGCTTCCTTCACCCATTTTGGTTGAGCACCTCCCAGCTTCTGGCCCACTTTCCCGACGGTCCCTTGATTCCACAGCCCCTCGGCATGCGTGAATCATTTATGATATCTTACACTCTCTAAGGCACATGCGTTCCTTGCCTAGATTGTTAAGTAGGGCAGACGAAGAGGCTCTGCTCATCTGCTTCTCATCCCTTCTCCTGCTCCAAACGCACCAGCGCAGTGCACAGAACGGATTCTCTGTAAGGAAACCAGCCAGTTCCCACCTCCACTGCTGTCAGCAGAGGGAGATTTCCCCGAGGAAATGCTCTCTCGAGGATCTCATGAGTAGAAGGAGGAACACTTTCTTTTCTCCTCGACTCCCCACAACACTGTAAATACATTTTTAATACCCTGCGACTAGATCATCTGACCTATAAAGTATCGCTTATTCATCTTGATCTTGTATTCCCTCCAAGCAGTAATTTGCAGGCTTTTTTTTTTTTTTTTAAAGCCATGACATACACTAAGGGATAATGTTCACGTGCAGCATGCACACATTATATACTGTTAACTGATGAGCTCTTTCTCCCTAGAACTACAGAGGGATAACCTTGAGCTCTTTTTTTAAAATAACCCAATAGATGGTTACTTATGACACACATTATATGTGACTGTTGGGGAAGGTCACGGAAAAGACGTGACTGTCAGTTGACCCATGAGCTAGACTCCTCGCCTCCTCGTCTGTCCGTGGAACGGGGTTCCCGCTGGCCTTTTCCGCTCCCAGAGCTGCTCCAAGAACACGGCCTTGAGATAATGACGTGGTGCTGAGAACACCTCGCAGGGTATCTGAGCCGCCTCAGGCCCCTAGATAAGGATTTGCAGGGATCCACTCATCCTGTCGTCGCCCATGACAGGCCTCACGTGTAAGTGCCCCTGGCTCATTGATACTGCCACCTACCACCCTGTCATAACCTGCCTCTTTCTCTGCTCTCTCCCTGCCCTACTAGTTAGGGGGGAGGTGAGGCAGTTTTAGATTACACCCAGGAAGCTCCTGGGAGAGCTGCCAACCAACGCGGATCACATTTGGGTCGCACACTTTTCCTGGTTGGAAACTCAAGCAGAAGTCTTTCTGCTTCTACCTGGGGTAGAAGACCATAGTTCGCCTCTCAGGTCCTGTTTGCTCTGAGGATGATCCCCACCCTTAAGAAGAGACTCAAGCCATCTCCTTGCCCCCAGCAACCCAAGGTACCATATGGGCTCAGCAGAATGCCACCAAAACACCCAAAAACGAGCCCATTTCTGAACAAGAGACACCCTTATACAGGGGCAGAGATCGTCGCTTCTCAACAAATGTGTGCTGAACAGTTGTAATGATAGCCTGTTTCTGTTATTTTCAGAAGCCTGGGAATCTGCAGAACGATTTCACCACAAGATATGACCTAGTTTTATATTTCTGGGGGGAAATGAAGTTTGGAGTGAACACATAAGATCAAGAAGCAAAAAAAGCCAAAAGCAACCCACGGAAGACTCCAGAACATACAAGATAAATCTATCTTCAAAGCATAATTCACCTGAACTGGATAGGTGTGAAGACTGAGTAAAAGGCACGCAGAGACAGGCGCATCTCCGTATCTCAGGGACCTCCCCTGACCTCTGGGCATCCAGGGAGTGAGAGGAAGGGGTGCTGGCATCTCCCTGGTCTTGGTATCTTCATATTGCTGTCACATTGCCCTAAATTCCCAGAAAGTCCTGACTGCGATCGAGCCACATCTTATAATCCACAAATTAAACTGCAGCAGATATAGTATGAAGCTGCTGATTGACTGCCACCTCGCAATCCAGAGACGGCTGCATTCTAGTGATGGGTCAGATAATTCACTTTTCTTTCATATGGCTGCTTCCAAGAGCGCCATGGAATCTCCCTCCGTGTGACAAATGCTAAAAAAATGGGGGAAAGGACATACATGTAACACAAAAATTATAACACAGATTTTCTAAATTATCTGAGCCTCTGTTTTTAAAACAAACAAATGCCGTTACATTTCCCAGATGCTGTTTACCCTTGACCAGTCCAGGAGAGGACCTGTCACCATCACTGACTGTGACACTATATTGTCACACGGCGTCAGGCTTCTGCTTTCTGTGTTGCATGGACAGTGACGACCTCAACTTTCCACGGTATCTAGAGCTTGCTCAGCTGCTCAGCCGGGTGGTTTTTCACACCCTTCTCCCTACACGGGGGGCATCCAGAAACGTCTGGAGACAACTGAAGTTGTCACAAACTTGGGGGAGAGGGGAGGGCACCACCGTCATGGACAGAGCCCGGGGAGGCTGCTCAACAGCCTACAGTATACAGGACACACACTCACGACAGAGAATTATCTGGCCCAAAATGTCAGTCGTGCTGGTACAAGAAACCCTGACGCAGAGTAGACAAGGATCCAGAAAAGAAGGGAACAAACAACGCTGTGTGCTTCCTACAGACAGGCACTGTCCTCGGCCTCGTGGGTGGCTGCATCAGCACAGAGAGCCGGGGCTCAGTATCAGGCGGCCCAGAGCTCCTGACAGGTCCCTTTCCCTTCGCTCTCACGTACAAGTCAGGCCCTGGGAGAGCTGCCCACGCTCCATCTCAAGGTCTCTCACTCCAAATTCCGAGCTCAGGACCTCGCCTGGCCACATGTCACATTAAGGCAACGAACACACGTACCTTCCTGGAATCACACGGAGACTTTGGAAAGCAGGGGCGATGAACCTTTAAAGTGAGACCCTGAGGAGTTCGGCTTTGATGGAAAAGAATGTGTTGTTCATAAACTCCCTGCCCATACTTTTCACGTGTTGACCGCTGGCCCCCTGGCACTGTGGACGCACAGTGACTGTATTACACTTTGTTACAGAAAACTTGATTTTGAGTTCTGACCATTCAAGAGAGTGATTAAATACACCATTTCCTATGCTGTTGTCTGCCTGGTTTGTCAAACAAAGTGAGCGTAAGGGAAGATGGATGGAAAGCCATGGATCAAGTTCTAAAGATTAGAACCTAGCACCTAACAGGCCTTCAATAAATGTTTGTTGAATGAAAAGATAAATGAATAGGATGTGAGCATGGGCCAACTGGCTGGGCCTGGCTGCGTAAGGAAACCCCACGGGCTTTACCAACCATGAATCTATCAGAGAAAGTTCTCAGTGGCTTGATGCAGATAAATTTGGGAGAATACATAAAGGTGGACAAATCCACTGCTCTAGTGTCAAAAACTCTGAGTTTTACTCTTCAGGAAGTATCCAATTCTAAATCTTAGAGGTGGAGGACCTCAAAATCATCTTGCCTAGACCCTTCACTTTTCAGATGAAGACCCGGAGGCCCAGGGAGAAGTGTAGGTAGCGGGCTAATCCTCAGGTTACAGGACTTGCCAAAAATGGCACTGATAGGGGCACTGATTAGGGGGTTAAAATGGGTAGAAAATTTAATTGCCAAAGGGCAAATTCTCAGGGGACGTTCATAACACTTCCTTGTTGTTCTTCTAGCTTGGTCCCAATAGGCCTTCTGCAAGAGGGGACCAACGCTGACAGAGCAAACTGTGAAAGCGTAAATACTCCCAACCCAGGGTTGTTCTTTGGCCTTGCCCTTGAGCCCATGGCAGATGCATCAGACAACAGGTATATCACCACCGCTAAAGCCCAAAGACCGGAATATGGCACATACCACAGACATCTGGGGAAGTTCAAATTTAGATGCCAAAGGTTAAAACATTTTGCAAATATTAACACATTTGACTGACCAAGTCAAACTTCAAGTGGAAGTATTGGCTCCCAGCTCTACCCAGGCTCTTTGAAGATTTAAGTGCATAGTGGCCTCCGTGCGGGCATTAATTGGGGGGAAGGGGGTGCACGGTCTACTACTGCATCATAAAACTTCTGCTCGATGGCATATGTGGTCTGCTCTGGTTCTACTGATGAAACATAACTCCCAGTCTCCCTCTGGCTGCTGAAGTCTCTGGTTGCTCTAATTCAGACTGTCCCACTCTGTGCCTGAACTCCGGGCTCCTCCCAGCTTTGTCTTATTTTCTCTTTCGCATCGGTCATCTCCAGGAGTTTCAGGGTGAAAGCCATGAGTGAGAATCAACAGTCACAAAAATAGAGGCTTAGCTATGCCCTCTCCTGTCTGTCTTTAAATTCTGCTTACCCTCGAGCAAAAATTCTTTCCCCATGAAGCTGTTTCTGAGCTTCACACGACACGATTGTACCCTCGTCTTTATACATGCAGTTTAGCACAAGATCACACACTGTTCTGTCTATTGGTTTTCGCTGCAGTGTACTTGGACTTCCTTGAAGATGATGCAAAATAAGGATGGGGGTCCAGGCAGCCCTTGGAAGTCTGCTATTAAAGGAGGGCCAAGCAGATAAGCCCAGGAAGCATTGCTTCCTGACGGTGTTTGCTGGGACAAAGCAGTTAACGTGCAGCCTAGAAAGGGGGTCTGCAGTAATCACTGCAGGAGCCCCTGGGTCTACAGGAAGGTATGGCTCCCTCCAGATAATGATAGGTCTGTGTCTTCTCAAAGTCATAGCCTGACCTTCAGCTTTATCTTATCTCTCAGCTCAAATCTGTCTGGCCTAAGGCGCATCCTTAGCATTTTCACGTATAAGGTCCCTTACCCCAAACTCTAAACAATGTATCAAATAAGAACTGCGTGAACATATTTGTCCCATAGCACTTCTTTAGAATAAGCCAAAAGGGAGGCTCGGTGCATCTAGCCTGTGAGCAGCTCATAGCAGAGTGAGAGCATTTCCCTTCTCTGCACCTTCTATATTTGCAGTTACCAAACGGCGTTTGTAGCTGCTCACGTGTCATTCTAAGGAGAGCAGGTTAGGTTTTGACAGATAAAATTCCAGGACCTTCGGAGAGCTGACAGGACTTTGATGGGTTGGTTCAGGTAGCCAGGTGTGACTGAAGGGGCAGGCCCAGGCCTCACGCCCAGGGTAGGGGAGACTGCAGGTATGACTGGGTCACAGCACACAGACAGCACTTTCTATTGAGAGGCAGGGGGGCCCAGGAGAAGCCATGTCCCAGCTGCAGAATGAGGGTCTCTGAGAAAAATGACCATTGTCTTCAGTTCCATCTCCCTTCCTTTGTATCCATTTCCCCCCACAGGACCCAATCACCCCTTCTCTAGGCCCTGAGTGCTCTTTGCATTTCCAGCATTCTTTCCATTAACTGCCCCACCTCCCACTGCCCAAGAAAGAAATGCATCCTGGCATCTAGGGACGCATGGGAACGTCATGTGCGGACTGCCCTTCTGGTTAGCTTAATGCACTGCCCTCCCCTCGAAGCGAATCCTTACTTTACTGAAATAAGGCTAGGAGTGAAAATATCAAACGACCAGAGACACTCGGGGTATCCAAGTGCAGACCAGCGAGCCTGCGCAAGGAAGTGTGGGGCCGGGGCATGGGTGCTTTTTAACAGTACCGACATGGCCACCTCCAGCCCCCCACCCCCGCCGCAGCGAAGAATCGCTGTGTAACCTGAGACACAGCTGAAGAGACTACGTTCCCGTCATCAACATGCGGCCATAGTGAAAGACTGGGGTCAACCGATGCAAACAGTGACCTTTAGAGAAGTAGAGGAAATGCAGCGCCTCCTGTGGGTCAGATGTCAACTAGGTACGGGTCTCATGCAAGCCTTGTCCTGCAGCGGGGGGCTCACCTTGACCCATCACCACCACCACCACCATTTTACAGAGGAGAAAACGGGTCCGGAGGGGTGAACTAACTTATTTAGGATCTCACAGCCAGAATTCAAACTCAGACCCATCATCACGACCCAGACTATTTCTAAAAGAGTAGGGTCACGACCCAGACTATTTCTAAAAGAGTAGGGTCACGTGTAAAAGTGCTACCAGAGGTTTCAAACATTATAGAACTACTGGCCACCGAGTTATATGTGTATAAAAATAGAGGATTCGCCGGGAGCTCGGTGAGGACGGCTCTTCTCCCCAGAGGAGGCCGCAGAGCTTCCTCAGCCGCACGCAGGCCACCTTCCATCATAGCAACTCCCCTGGCTCACACAGGCGCTGGCAGTGGAGATGCCAAGTCGCTCAAACACCACCACCTTGCTGTGTTCCCAACAGCCCTCGGGAGACCACCTCTAAGCCTTCAGAAGACGGGTGTCGGCTGCTGAGGGGAAGCCTTTTCCGGCTGTGGCCCCAACTGTCCTCTGAGACCAGCTTATGCCTTCGTTCTTGTTCCGCCCCAAATACACCTGGAAGGGGAGACTTCGTTATTATAAATTCTTCCTCGAATCCACTGAGGTTGAGCCCTGGTCCTACTTACTCTGCTATGACCTACATGCTGCTCTTCTGCAATTAAATCTGTCACCTGTGCCAGTGTCATTTCTTCTAGTACTTCCGTTTATGGGTGTTTAGACAGAACTTCTGCACCCTGAGATTATATTAAAATATCCATCTTTACGTTTTAATACTTCCATGTTTCTTTTTTAATATTTATATCTTTACTCCATCTTAACTTAATTTTGGGTATAATCTGTGAGGTAAGGGAGTTAACTATCATT